CCTCGGTCGCAGCGCCAGAACTGTTCTGATAATTTGATCTGCCAAAGAAAAATCTTCAGATGTTTTTTCTGAATGTTATCGATAAATGAAGAAACAATTCCAAATTTATGTGACGTCGTCCCCGGTATCGTGACATTCTATCCTGATCTACCCGGCGTGACGTCTTCGCCGCGGCGTCAGCTGTTCGCTCCTCGCTGCTCCGTCCGGTTGTCGCTGCCAAACGTGACGTTCTAACCCTTTGGTGATTCGGGTAGGAATCTGGTTAGATTGATACCAGCCTCGCCGTTCCCAACCTGCTTCCAACGCCTGGTTACCAGGGTAACTGCACTGATCTCCAGTCTGCCTACCCACGTTGTGAATTGATCTTAGACAGACGAGATCAAACAGGGGTTGGGGCCGTAATGCAAGCTGAGTTCAACGGGGTGATAACACACAAATATGTATAAAAGAAAATAAAATGAAAACTCACAAAGTTCAAAGTATCAAAGAAAAAAAGGTAACAAACTTTTTATGTCTATTTGTTCGGTACATAGGACTATGTCTACCTCCCGACCCGTTCTGTGGATTGTGGCACGACGCTTTTCGTTAGGCGAATTTTTAACGCTTCAAGTTGTCTGCTCTCTAAGAAATTTGTGTTTCGGTGTGTCTTTGGACGAAAGTCGAAAAAAAAAACTTATTTCTGTGGTCTGGTTCTAAGTCGCTCTTCAAACTACTTGTTCTTGGTTGAAGAAGAGTCCAAAATTTTGCGTGAATCTTGGTCAGCTATCTTGAGGCGGTTTCAACACTGGGCACTCATCTCTCTGCCGTCAGGGGTCGAACTGACTGGGCACTCATCTCTGCCAGGGTCTGCGGCGCGAACTCAAACTTCTTTCTCCAGAGTCTGAACTACTGGGCACTCATCTCTGCCGTTTAGGGCGAACGAACTTCTTTCTCGCCAGCTTGGGTCGAACGAACTCTGCACTCGGGGCCAAACGAACTGGCCTCTTCTGCGATAATGGGGCGAACGAACTCTTCGCCTCCGCCGTCCGGGGCTGAACTGATTTCTGTCTGTTGGGGCTTCGTTTTTATTGACGCCGTCAAAACTGGGGTGGGTCTGTCGGCGCCAGGGGTTCTTCGATAATTCTAAATACGTATCCACCCTTCTTATTTCTGGTTAGGGATTTTCCACTCTTTTTTCCATTTTTTGGTAAACTTTTCTCACTCCCACTCTCTCACCATGCTTCTGAGGGGCGTTAACTGCTCTCCCCACTTCTTCGTATCGGCTTCTCATACTTATATTCTGGATAGAGGCGTCGACTGATTTTCTTCGTACGTCACGTGACCACTCTCGGCCAATGAGGTCCTGGTCGGGTATCTTTCCTCCTCCTTCGTGCGTCATGTGATCCACTTGGCCAATGACGTCTTAGTCGGGCGTGAACAACCCGTGGCTTTGTTTTGGGAAAAGAAATACCTTGCTTAAAAAAAAAAAATTAATTAAATCGCCCTTATCATGAGCGGTTGATGTGACAACTCTCGGTTTTAACACGTGGCGTTTGTCAAGCAGTTTATCGCTAATTCACTGGACAGTTGGATTATCTGACATGGAAAGAAAAGGAATTTTTCCAAAATCTCAGCCAACTTGGCGTCTCCAAAGCAGAAATAAAAATATTTCATTTTCCTTTGGCTCTTGTGTTGATAACAAAATCTTTATTATCGCAGGGCAAAAGTTTATTCTGTCAAAAGAAAAATTTAGCCAGTGAAAACTACTTGTGTGGGATTTTTTTTTCCACACCCAGTCAAAATTCTGTTTTACATGAAGTTTCGTCCACTATCAAAATCAATTTTCAAAAATGGATTTCTTAATTGGTGACATCTATTGATAACACAATTCCATTTTTCGTGGATAAGCGGAAATCGGTCAACGCTTGTTCGTAGGTGACCTAGATATTTTCGACATTTGATACCTATCAACAATAACCATTTTTTTCCTTATTTATTCCCGTCTCTTAAGCGTGTGTGTGTGTGTGTGTGTGTGTTCGCCTATGGCCCGTCTCGTATTTTTTTCTTTCTTTCTTCTTTTTTTCTTTCTTTCTCCCAAATCGCCTGAATGCATGGCGATTCAATGCAAAAAAAAAAAAATTATTCTTAAAACCTAAAATACATTTTGGCCTTAAATAATCCTCAAATGGTTGATAAACCGTAAAAAAGCAAATCATATATCTATAAATATTTCTTTCAAATCGTCAGGATGCATGGTGCCACATTTAAATACAAGTTTTCTATTAATCTCATAATAGTTGTCACAATATGTTTTTATAATTATGCTTTTTTTTTCTTATTATTGTTACTCGTTCCGTCTTCTACGTTGCTTCTTTTGTTCGTAGTCCGTTCTAGGCGTTGTGAATTATGTCTCTACACTACTTCCTATGATTTGTTGCTTCCAGGCAACGCGCGTCCTCTCAATATCCCCCCCACGTTCCCTGGTCCGTCATCGATTTATACAAACTCATAACTTGACATTTTTCGGTGCCTCTCATACTTTCAATATGTCTTCTAAGTGTCAAATTCTATAAGCCCCCTTTCCTCATTACACGTCACAGAAATTTCAACGCTCTCTTTCTTATTCAATTACGAGCACCTATTTCGCTCGCATTTTTCTTCAAATTTCCCCGTTACGCACCTGGTCCGTCCATTGTATTACCTGGAACCTTCTCTAGAAGCACATATCAATATCCAGATCTTCATTTGTGAGGCGGTTGCTTAGGATTTATTGACACACAAAAGAACCGATATTACATAACAACTGAACGCTCTTTTCTTTGCTCCTAATGAAATTGTCTTGTTTCTTAATACGTTGCTTACGTTTTTGGAAGATGTTTTTCGCTTTTTCAATATATTCTTGGATTTCTATGTCACACTTTCTATCATCTGTCAGAACACTTACCAGACAGTTACGTTTCTCTGCTTACTTGGTTTTAACGTCTCCAGTTCGTAGCTCGCATCGTAGAGTTTTTTTTTCTCTAGTGGCAGCAATACATTCTGTATTCTTACAACTAATAGTCCTTTCTTTTCGCTTTCTTTTATTACTTTATCTAACATTGCCTGCATTTTCCTTTCTGTATCTGCTAACAATATGTTTTCATCTGTATATTTATGCTTCCAAGATTATGTTCACCCCTAATAAATTTTGATAGGACTTCTTATCCTTTTTTGATCACATTACTGTCCTATTTCATGTCTGCTTTCTTAATTCCTTTTCTATGTGTGATGCAGGCGTTTTGTGCAGAACTAATTGCTCTATATTGTTCTAATAACTTTCCCCAATAGATCAAGTGTTCCAAGCAGTTTACGATGTGAAGCATACTCCCTTGAAGCAGGATGAATCGTCTTTGCTGCTACAGGATGTTAGTCATTGATGTCTTTTTTATGTCCCCTGTCTTCTCTTGCCTTTGGTTATCTCGTGAGTGTTCAATTTTCCAAACACGCTTTCCGTATTATATGCCCTAGAATGTTTAACTATCTCTCTCTCTCTCTCTGATCGTGATCACAAATGTCCTTTTGTTTCTTAAAACCTCCTCGTTGCTCATATCTTCAGAAACGCATTTTAATTGCCTGAAAAATAATCTAGAAACTGTCCAAAACTCGCAGCCAAATATGAAGATTGTTATTACATAGATGTTCAGAACTCTTTTCTTCGTTTCTAACGAAACGTTCCTGCTTCTCATTACTTTAGTTTGTTCAAAACATATTTCACTATGCTAAAGCACCTTCAAAATTCTGTCAGATTTTCCATTGTGTTATGAGTTTTTCCAGTTAAAATTCTGAGTTTGCCTAATGATAACGTTTCCAAATTGTAACTCAGCTCGTTGGTTGCCCCATTTGCTAACGACTATATATTCTGTAGTCTTACAATTGATAGTTTTTCTATACTTCCTAATTTACATTTTTTTCTTTCCTTGACTGTCATCAACACGGTGTCATTGGCGTATCTCAGGTGGTTATGGTCGTGTGCGCCAATATTAAATCTGGGTAGGACTTCTAGATCCCTTAGGATAAACTCACTAGGAATGTTGAATAAATCCGTTGAGAGCTTTGTCATTAGCATTTTCCATGTCTTATGCCAGTCAGTTATGTCCCATGCGTGATACACGCTTAGGCGATCATGTATCTTTTTCCCGCAGTTGTTTGCCATTTCAAACAAGATACCATCCAAGGATATAGAACCCGGTATGTCCTGCTATTTACCCATAGCTGGGAAGAGAAAAAGAGGATACATACCTTTCCCAAGGGTATTAGCACGTAAGGGAACGTAATGGATTCGACTAGAATTCGATCTCGGCTGTCCGAATCCTCAATCCGAGCTGGTATCCATTACTCCACCGTTAATGTGTACTTGCCCAATTCATGATAATCCTTTTTTGTTTATGTTTACTACCTTGTCTAGCAGAGGCTGCACTTCCCTTCCTGGGTCTGCTAACAACACGGTCTCATCTGCATATCTTATGTTATTAAGATTGTGTCAATCACTAATAAATCCTGATAGAACTTCTAGTCTTTTTATGGACGCATTGATATCTTATTCCATATCTACATGTCAGGTGGAATCGTATTTGATGCTATATGATGTTAGTTATTGATTTCTTTTTCTTTTCAGAACATACGCCATTTTTTTCTTCTTTGCTTTTAACGCCGAGAGGTGTTTTATACACAAAAGTATTTACGACTGTTTTACCTTAAAGTTTATTGGTATTGTTGCATTTGAATGCCTGTTAAACTTGTTTTATTGTAATAAAATAATTCCATTTCCAAAGTATCAGCATTGTTCTATCTGCTATTTATTTGAACATACGTTTCTTGATTTCACGTTTCTACAATCCGCTTTTTCTTAATTTAAAAAAAAAAGGCAAAAGTCTTTATAACATCGATTGCTTTGCGTTCTTTTTCCCCACTTGGTCTTTTTTTTTTTTATTTTTTTCCTGTTATCACAGCGTCGCTTCAAACTGACATCTTCAAAGTAAAATATGCGTCTTGGTCCGTTGACACGCGTCCCATCCTCCCGTTCATCTGACTGCAAGTCGGGCTCATCACTTGTGACAAGTGAAAAGGACGCATGCGCAAAGCGCAGAAGACATGCGCACTAACAGGACATCAGACAAACCCTAGTTGACAGGTCTGGATCGACTGCATGTCATTACATAATTCCCTTGATAGGTGGCGCTACAAATATATGGCATGTCATTCTGTATGAACGTCATTCTTTGGTGGTTAAGACAAATCCATGTTTTGTTTTTCTTTTACTCTGTTGTTATTATTGTTTATTATTGTTGGTTATGGTTAAATTAATTTTTAGTGGTATGAAAATTACTAGAATTTTTGTAACTACTTTAATGGTTAGTGTGTGTGTGTTTTTTAAAATATATATCTGCATTTGTTAACAATTATCAGTATTGAAAATAAATACTAAAATTGATTTTCAAAATTATTTAATAACCGATATTGGTTTTGCTTTTAAGTACTATATCCGACAATATATAAGATGCGCTTCTTCGTCAAAAGTATTTAAATATTGGAATCATATATGATTAAAAAGCGTTTTTAATAACATCGCTCTGTGAATAACAATGTAGGGACTCTATATTTTATACTCAGCAGTGTTAAAAACAACGCTAAACTATATATACTATCACGATTATATATATATATATATATATATATATATATATATATATATATATATATATATATATGAGAAAGACAGACTTGAATAGTGAGGACATCATCTTACCTTTAGGAGACCCTTTCGACCAACACATTTTCCAAATGTGAACGTTTACGCATAGAACAAACTAATCAATCACAGATTTGTAAATAACGAATAAGGAGGGAAAATTGTAACACGATTAAAATAGATTTATATAAATATAAATGTACATTGAAGTGAACATTCAGAGTCGACAGTCTGTTTCATGCTAAAAGCAATTGTCAGGTCTGAAGATTGCGCTTAGACACACACACACACACACACACACACACACATATATATATATACACATGTAAATTACAAACAATATCTCTGCTTATTTTTATCATAATCCTTTTATATTCACGAATATTTTTCCGTATATTACAATTATAATATACGTAAAGATATATGTAAATATTAAAAACTATTTCACAATTTGTTCATTTCAATGTTTCAGTCAGACGAATGGCACGAGACAGTTTCGTTCCTTCGTAATTATTTTTTTTTCTAGCTTTCACAGTTTAATTTCTATTTCTGACAAAAAATCATTCTACACCAGTATTCCTAAAACAGACGACCGATATTTTCGCCTGCCGAAATAGAATATTCCCCATATGAAGTGTTTTTGGATTTTATTGTATATATATATATGTGTGTGTGTGTGTGTGTGTGTGTGTGGAATTTATGAAGAATCTCTAAATAAATAACACCGGGTCATATGTGGTAGTGATATTCTAAGTACGGGAGAATGGTAAACTCATAGTTATGTAAAATAGATTCAGGAGAGAAAAATTGTCTAGCGCTATACAGTGAACCAACCTTTTTAGCAGTAATCCTAGGAATGGATTCAATATAATCTTTTCACTTCATATCAGCCGAGAATCAAAACCTGAGAAAACGAAACGTATCACTATCATGGATGTTATTATCAATCGTCTTTTATGCAAGACAGAACGGAGTTTTCCAGGTAGATAAAAGTTTCGTTTTAGAGGCGTTAAAATTAAGACGCCATTCGTTGTTCCATTTAACCTCAGATTGCATGTCACTTTTTAGATCAGCTGCTAATTTGACCTTAACAAACTGATCAGATTGCTTTTTTTTTAAGAAACTGGTTTTTGGTGTATCTTCAGACGATATTCGTAAAACTTGTTTTGGTGGTGTGAGTCTAAGTCGTTCTTCAAAAATAAATTGTTCTTGGTTAGAAGTTGAGGTCGTGATGCGTGGATCTTTCAGTCAGCTTTCTGCGAGGTGGGTCTCAGAGCTCACAGATCAACTCTGTCTGCGTCTGCCAACTGCGTCTGCCAACTGCGTCTGTGTTACTCACTTTGCAACTGCTTGCCTGTCTGTGTTACTAACTCTACTCGCTGTGACTCTGCTTATATGGACGCCGACCAAAACCGGGGTAGGATTGTCGGGATTTGAGTTTCCTTGATAATTCTAAATCCACAATAAGGATTTTCTTTGTTCTCGAACAGGAAAATTTATTACTTTCCATTTTAAAAGGAATCGTCCTCCCAAATTCTTCCTTTCTCATATTGGTATCTCACACCAATATCCTCAGAGGGCGTCAACAGGTTCCCTTCTCTCTCACAGTGGCATCTCACACCAATCCCTTCTGGGGGCGTCAACAGGCCTCCCCTCCTCCTTCATAGTTTACCTTCGCCTACCGCTCACGCCACCCTTCAGCCAATGAACGCTCAGCAGCGTGGGTGTTTGCAATTATCGCTCAAAGGAAAAAAAAATTATCTTCTTTCCTTTTTTTCTTTTTCTTTCTCTTCCACGATCAGACCTCACACGACTCGTAGGATGGTCCCTAATCTCTATCCAAACAGAAATAAAAATTTTGTGTCATCAGCATTGATTTTCAGATGAAAGCCAATGACATCAAGATTGTTATTGATGAAAATTAAGCACAAAGTATGTGCAAAGAATTATCCCTGGGTGTCACCTGTATGAGTACAAAAAATAATTAGAAAGGCCGGTATGCGAAACCCTGCCAATCGCTTTCGAGATGTCCAAAACGACAACTCTGACTTCACGATTCTTATTTAAAGCTTTCAGGTATAAACGTTAATACATCAGCAGTTGACCTAGAGATATGAAAGATATATTGCTTGTCTCAAAGAACGCTCTACGATGAGAGATGCTTAACTAATTCAGTGTTTATTAGGGACTCTACAGGTTTTCCAAGGCTAATAGGCCGAGAGTTCAAAGACTCAAACGGTTCACCTGAGTTCTTAAAACTGGGACAATGAGGAGAATATCCAATAAACAAGAAAAGAACAAGTAACAAGACATTTATTGTAGTGATTTGAGAAAACAGGAGTCAATCTATCTATCTATCTATCTATCTATCTATCTATCTATCTAAGGGGCGTCACAGTGAAAGTCTCGAAGTGAATCCCAATCAGCAACCTAATAACAGAAGGAGATTCTGTGAATAGGAGGTTCCTACTGTCTAATAGATCATCTATCCATTGCACACACACACACACACACACACACACACACACACACAGATATATATATATATATATATATATAGAGAGAGAGAGAGAGAGAGAGAGAGAGAAAGGAGATAGAATTTCTACTCATTAATTATCTATCTACATTATTCGCTTGATTATCTGTCTGTTCTTTCTTTTTTTCTCTCTCATTCTAATTATCTATCTATCTATCTATCTATCTTATCTATCTTATGATAATTATCTACCTCTGTTTCTATATATATATATATATATATATATATATAAATATACATTCATCTCTGAATATACATATATATATATATATATATATATATATATATATATATATATATATATTCCAGTCGAGTCCATACATACATCTCTCTCTCTTTCTTTATATATATATATATATATATATATATATATATATATATATATATATATTCCAGTCGAGTCTATAAATAGCAGGACATACTGGTTTCTGTAGCCTTATCTAGGAAAAAGACAACCCCCGCAGAGGGTCGTTTGGGAACCTTGTAGCACGTAGTTCACCAGGTCTCTGTATTCGGCTCTTCAAAAAGTGTAGATGTTTCTGCACATAATCAGATCATATATACAGGTGTCTGGCTGTCGCTTCCTATCTTGACCTTCATGTTATTTTAAACGCATATATATATATAATATATATATATATATATATATGTATATATATATATATATATATTTTACAATCGCCCACGTGACGACGACGTGATCATATTTAAACGTAACGCTGATCTGTTTGGATTGGTATTGCTTTTATGTCCATCGTCTTTTTCATGTTGAATTGTATATGGTCTATGTTAATTATGTTTTATGAATATATCCTGAAGATGGTCAATTAAATCGAAACGTCCCACGTTGACATTAAACATTAAAACAGCATATTCGCATATTAGTATTTTTGTTTGTTTTTTCAGTATATTTTTCTTCATGTATATATATATATATATATATATATATATATATATATATATATAATTATTGCACTATATCAATCTACCTTTCTATCTTCTTATAAATAGAGATAGATATCTTTTTTCTTTCTTTTAAATAATATGTTTTATATAGCCGATGACACCTTTTCGTTGTTAATCTACTACACTTGTTATATTCACTTTCTTTCTTTCCTGCTGTTATATTCTCTTTCTTTTGCTGAAATATTCACGTTCTTTTTTGCTGGCATATTAACTTTCTTTCGTTCTTTCTTTCTTTCGTTCTTTCTTTCTTTCTTTCTTTCTTTCTTTCTTGTCATTATATTCTCTTTCTTTTTTTTTTTTGACATATTCACGTTTTTTCTTGTTGGCATTTTCTTTCTTTCTTCCTTTCTTATTGGTATATTCTCTTTATTTATTTCTTTCTTTCTTTTATCTTTCTTTCTTGTTGATATAATCTCTTTCTTTTTGTTGACATATTCAGGTTTTTTCTTGTTGGCATATTCATTTTCTTTCTTTCTTTTTTTTTCTTTCTTTCTTTCTTGTTGGTATATTCTCTTTCTTTTTTGTTGGCGTCTTCACGATCTTTCTTGTTTGCATATTTACTTTCCTTCTTTCCTTCTTTCTTTCCTTCTTTCTTTCTTTCCTTCTTTCTTTTCATTTTAGCAATTTGTCTTCACTCCCGCCTTCATTTTCCTTTCGCTTTGTTGATCTAGAAACATTTTTATTTTCCGAAATGTAACTCATTTTTCTGTTCCATGTTTCCTTCCAATGCTATTTGCTTTCATCACGTTTTCGCCCAACATCTCGCATGTAGATTGCTTTGTGTGTGCTTGCTGATAAGTGCTTAAATTAAAACCAATGCAAAGAAAAATAATACAAATTATGCTAAAAAAAAATTGTAAGTTTCATTTAATCTCTTAGTTTTTCTTAAATTTTCATTTTGTATCGAGTAACCAAAATGAATCAAATCTGATTGAATGGGAAAATTTTCACAAACGCAAACCATAGCATGTTAGCCAAACTTTTAACTTTTTTTCAGCATATAATGCATTGTAAATATACCCTGAGGAATATTCTCGAATGTTTTCTAAAAACCTTACATTGCGTTAGAGATTACTAAGGAAATGCTTATTTTTATAAGCAACAAGATATATAATAACGTTTCAATGGCTGAAAAATAGCGAAAAGTCTTTATTTATTTATTTCACTATAGGCCTGTTCTCTTAATTAGGGATTTGTCATGATTTTCATAATGCTAAGATACTGTTTGAGGGCGCTTCTGTGAATTTAACTAATTTAAAGTTTCGGCTTATTTAAAATATTTTTAGATATACAAGGGTCATTTAAAAGTTTCTAATTTAATTTTAATTCCTGTTTTGTTCGTTTAATTTTCCCCCACGTATAAACGTGTTGTAGCATACATATGGACGATAATGGGCATGTCCCCCACTCACAGAAATACAGTAGTAAATACTGTATGTTGGTCTGAATTTGAAAATTCGTCTCCCGCTGTGCAGGTCAAACTCTCTGCCTCCGGACAGAGAGGATCCACTGACGAGGCTATGTCGAAGAGAATAGTCTCGTCCGTCGAATCTTATATGTGTTGTTCTTGTATTAAGTATTATCGTTCATTATCAATCTTCGTGTGATTACTCGATTCAGTAAACTTCCCTATGTTAAAATAAAAAAAGACTCGAGGAAAATTAGTAGATTTACCTTTTCCGTTCCTACGCATAATACTCTATCAAAAGAGCTGTTTTTCGAGAAAGCAATGAATTGTAGTAGAATTTCTGTTTTTAGAAGGGAAAAATCCTGAAAACATTCAGGGGTGTTTATAGAAGATGTATGGAATCACACAATTAATTGTTAACCCGATGACAGGCCCCACATTAGCAAGAAATCTGCAACCGTGAATGCGAATACATTTAAACAGGCTGATGGCGTAATTAGATACAAATCACTTTGAAAGACTTTCATTGAGCCATTGCAATACATGCAGTTTAATGTAATCTCTTGGGTACTCAAATGCCTCTCCTAAAGGAGTTTGAATCCATGAAAGTGTAAAAAGTGGTTACTACTCAGAAGCTTCGAGAGTTGCAAACAACACAGATAGCACTCTCTTTAGCAGAGTTGTCACCGAATATATTTTTAATAGAATTAACCCTAAAGAAGGCAGTAAAGCCACTAAGACACAAGAGGTTACTGGGTGTGAAAGGATTAGAAAAGAGAAAATGTTATGAAGGAGCAGGAAGTCAACAGATAACAATTGACATGGCATTCAAATTTTTTGCAGATCAACTAACATATTTCTTTCAAGGATACGAACAATTTCTACATGTGATAAAAATGCGAGAAAAGAAACTGCTAGCATAGAACTTACGGTTAGATAAGCCAATTCAACTATAAATCGAGGAGACCAATCTAGTACTGCGCTTAAATTCATAAAGTCTATGTACCATAGCGAAGAAGTCATGTTGTTCATGATGACGGTCGTCTTCGAGTATAGAATCCAGAGGTTAGCAGTGAATATTTCGAAGACAGTAGGGAAGCGTATTTCCGGTTAGCAGTGGATATCCCGGTAAAAATAGCAGAGCGTAGTTCGTCCTTCTGTTTCTCTTCGCCTGACAAGCTGGAATTGGACATTCGGATAGAGTAAACAAAATGGCCGCCTTTATACACGACGGATTGAATATTCTACGTCTTCTGATTAGTTAACCTTCTATTGGTGGACTATAAAGTGAGTCAAGTCATTTGGGCTAACTCAGTAGTACATAGTGCCCCAAAAACTGCAACAATCCGAACATTTATCATGAATGTATTTATAGAAAAGGCCAAGGGAAGCAACTTTACGGCAGTGGGAAAGTGACGCCAGGTCAGGACCGATAATATTGCTGGTTGTCCTTTGGATTTTATCAAGAATTTCTAAATAAATATCAGGACCATATATGAGAGTAATATTCTAAGCCTGCGCGATATATAAAGATATGTAATATAGAATATGTAGAGAAGAATTGTCTAACACGACACAGTGAAGCAACTTTCTTAGCAGCTAAACTAGCAATAGATTCAATGTTATAATTCCTCTTCGTTTCACTCGAGAATGCTAATCCGAAAAAGCCGCAACGAGTCACTCTCCTGGAGGTTAGCATCAGCTATGCTAACGAATGGAAGAAACGGCTCTATCAGATGATCAACAGAGAGCAGTTTAGTTTTAGACGCGTTAAAATTAACACGCCATTGTCTGCTCCAGTTAGCAACAGATTGTAGGTCGTTTGTGAAACAGCCAGCAATTTGACCTTATCGAACTGAACAGGCTTATTATTGAGACAGGTGTAAATGGTTTTGTCACCAGCATATATATATCAAGTTGAGTGCTGATGCTATCGGTGAGGTTGTTAATGGAAATTAAAAACAAAATGGGTCCAACTACGAAAGCAGCCATGATGATTCTACTTGGCGAATCTGCATGTGTTCATTCCAAATTGTAGTGTCGTGAGGGAGACTTAAGGTTATGTTAATTTTACATTTTACGACATATCAACAGAGAATGCAGAGTGAAATCTAGACTACTTCCGCTGTCAATTACTACGCACCGAGATGAAAAAACGATTGAAAAGGAAAGAAATTATTTGAATAAATGAAACAAAATTTTTTGTTCATTTTCATTAATTTTTTTCGTGTTTTTACTATTAAATATTGTGTATTTAAATAACAGGTATTAATGTTTTGACGATCATTTTATTTACATGACTTTATCAAGTGAGTTCAGAATGAGAAATCTCAAAGCGGAGTTCCAATTCAAGTCGAGATCACTAGATTCAGTTACGTGCAAATAGCATTGAAAAATCCATCTCTTCTCTCCCCACACCCCGGGCGGGCACAGATATGGCTAAATAGCACATCATACTGGACCATTTGGCCTCTTTTGAACCAAAAGAAGAAAAATAAAACTATGAGGGTTCCGTCAGGCTATCTTGCTTAAAACAAACTACTACGGTTGCAGTATATATGATGCCTCTACGACAGTAATTATTTACGGGACTCGTGATCGTCTGATCGTGAGGAAGGGAATATAGCAAGTTATTAGGATTTTATTTTACTGTCCTAATTTTCTGAAATGAAAGGGTTTTGATAATAAATGGAAAAATTAAAACAAGATATTTGATCTTTGTCCATTGGGAAAAAAATTTTTTTCATCAAATTTCAATTTGATATATAATAAATTAAATATGTTATATAATACAGATTAGACACAAAAGAAATACGTCGTCTAATAACTGAGCATTACAAAAAAGCTCAAGACGATATAGCCCTATACATCGACAGCGGAAATTTCGAAGTGTTCCAATCGTTCTGTTAATGACGAATTCTACTTAAAACACAAACTTTAGGGAATGAAATGCCGCTACCTGTATGCACAAGAGCAGTAGGTAATTTGATTTTCTTAAAGAGGTATAAATAATATTTTGTCAGAGAAGGTAATGTTTTCGTAGATTATCAACAGTTAAAAGTTTGCAACAACTTATTTAAAAGATTTTTATTGTTTTGTTTGTTTAACGGCATATCAACTCTTTATGGGTCATAATGCCGAAATTTATTTTTCTATTCTTCGCAGCTTTAGAGGAATCAAAATATCATATGTTATTCTGCTTTCACAATCGAATACATGGTAGATGATACTCAGCTTTTGTGCATATATATGTTTGTTTAGAGGCAGTGATATATGTGTTTTATGTTGTAGTTTTGTTGAGGTTATATTTCGGAATACAGTGTGATTTCTTCAGGAAACTATAAGATATTATATGGATTAATGACATGAAAGAGATATGTCATGGGTCCTTACCTATAACTACAGAATGAACTCTTCTTAACACTATGTATACTACGCCTCTCAAGAGAGAGGGACGAATCAAACCGAGAAGCTCGGCTTGACGGGCGAACTCTCTGCCTCTGAGCAGAGAGGAACCCGGACGAGGCTCCGCCAAAGGGCAGAGTCTCGTTCGGGGAGGTTGACCAACCCGATCCCGTTTATACGGGTTCTACGGGCATTTTTTGGCCGACCCTACGGGCTCGGGGAATCCACGTTAAACTCGGCCTTGTGCCATATGCAACCCTCGTGGGGGGTGGCTAGATACCGAATCAAGCCGATCTTCTCGGCTTGACGGTCGAACTCTCTGCCTCTAGGCAGAGAGGAACCCGGACGAGGCTCCGCCGAAGGGCAGTCTCGTTCGGGGAGGTTGACCATCCCGATCCCGTTTATACAGGTTCTACGGGCATTTTTTGTCCGATCCTACGGGCTCGGGGAACCCACGTTAAACTCGGCCTTGTGTCATATGCAACCCTCGTGGTGGGGTGGCTAGATACCGAATGAAGCCGAGCCAATAGACTGACAGTCATACTAACACCTTCCACATCTTGTATTATTATTTCGTGTAATATACTTTCGTTATTTCTACTCTTGTGTTCGTGTTGTTCTTCCTTGGTCCTAACCTGGACCATAACAAGTTCTTTCAGGCTGGTTGTTTGATTAGTTGATTTTGATTAGCGACATATCAATCTCTATAGGATATTTAATGCTGAAACTTGCATGCCTTCAACTGCAGATAAAATGTATTGTTGGTCATTCTGCTATAAAATGTACAGCTGGTCATTTTGCTATGAAT